ATATATATATATATATATATATATATATATATATATATATATATATATATATATATATATATATATATATATATATATATATATATATATATATATATATATATATATATATATATATATATATATATATATATATATATATATATATATATATATATATATATATATATATATATATATATATATATATATATATATATATATATATATATATATATATATATATATATATATATATATATATATATATATAACTGGGGGTAAAAATGTCAATAAAATGGTGCGGGCACAAAACTAATTGAAAATGAAAAAAGTCAACTTGACACGTCATTGTACACAAACGGATTGGAAACGGAGGGGCCATTTTGGTACGTTTTATAGTTTAAGGGGGTGTTTGTGACAAGCCCCATAGTTCAGGGGTGCAAACTGTACTTTCCCCTTTATTGAATGTATGAATTTTGATTTTTTAAATTATATAATTATTTTATTAGAATTATTATATATGTTTATAATTTATTCTTGATTAATTATATGTGAAAAAAACATAAATAATTTGAGAATTCGTTCCAACTTCCATCTCGAGTAATATTTTCTTAGTTTTCATATTTTAAATTAATAGATATATTCGACTTAATTTAAGAAAATAATTTGAATTTTAAATGAATAAATTAATTTGCATACACCCCCCTTGTTTTGCAAAATTATGCACCAAATCCTCCTATGTTACAAAAAAATTGCGTAAAACCCTCTATATAGTTAACGGCGTTAACTTTTAACGGAAAAAATGATTTTCGTGCAAAGTATAATAAAACACAAGGGGGTTTTACGCAAGAAAAAAAAATACAGGGGGATTTGGCGCAAAGTTTCCTTAACATAGGGGTTTTTTATGCTGTTTACCCTGGGTTTAATTATTTCTTCACTATTAATTGATGCATGTTAATCTTTTAATAAATTGTGTTTAAGTAACATGGGCTTAAACATTCTCAGAAAAAAAAACATGGGCGTAAACGAAGCACAAACCTCGTAATTCTCTCAGATCCATTTTTGTTGAGCATGAAGATTTGTTTTTCAGCCTTTGACCTAATTGAGGAAGTCAACAATCAAATTAAACGAAAATAAAAGTTTTTCATCCATTTTTGTACATTTCTCTCTGTCGA